CCCCCAGAGGGGACAGCGGTGTCCCTTACTCTGGGGAGCAACTGTGGAGGACGCATTACTCCCGAGCCACTTACAGACCTTAGGCAGAGAGCAAAGGTGTTGGGAGGGTCTCAGGCTGACAGGTGAGCTGAAGCTGGGGCTGGCGGGGCGGGGCAGGGCCCAGGGGGCAGAGAGGAGGAAGAGGCCCCGGCCCAAGTGATGTAAGCAGCTGTGGGTGGGGAGGCCACCAGGATATCCTCGTGTCTCCTTCCTCTTCTGCCGTCACCCAGGCTGCATTTCCCCGGGTGTCACCGCCTGGGAGGCCCCGTGTGCCTGAAGAAGCCGCATGCGGAAGAGCCGCACATCAGGGTCCTGTGGGAGCAAATTCCCCTGGGGAGAGTGAAGCCCCCAAGCTGTAGGGGCGGGTGGGAGGCTGGGGTCGCAGCTGTCACTGTCCCAGCCGCATTCGGTGCTCCAAGGGCACGTGTCCCCTACCATCCTCACCCCCCGCCTGGGCGTCCCGCCTCCTGGCCCTGTAATTACCACGCTTCCCCCACGCCACGCTGCTCCCATTCTTTGGCTTCCAGCCGCTGCCAGGGATGCAAGGCGGCCGCCCCTGTGATCTTGGAGATGACCGTGGGTGTTGACTGGAGTGTGGGTGGAGGGGCACCCAGGGCCTGGCCAGTGGTCAGGAGAGCCACGAGGCTGGGCCTGGGCCTGCAGTGGGGGAGTGGTGGGGAGGGGGATCAAACAGGGACGCCACCAGCACGTGGGCAGGTGGCCTTCCGAACAGGTTTGGCCAGTTAGGTTCCTACTGATGCCTTGTGTCTCTGGGCTGGCCCCTCCCCACAGATGGGCCTCCCCCTCTTCCTTCTCCCCTATAAAGCCTCTTGGGGATCCCGGCTTCCCAGACTCAGCCGCCCCACCTGTGGGGGCCAGTCCAGAGTCACGATGCTGAACTGGAGGCTGCTGGGGACCCTGGTCCTCTGCCTGTTGGCCGGGGGTGAGTTGGGAACGGGCTGGGAGGGTGCGGGGGGGTGATGGGAGGGTCCAGGTGACCCACACTCAGCAGGGGGCACTGCGAAGAAGGAGGAGGGTGAGTTGGATGCTTGCAGTGGAGGAGACCCTGGAATTCTCAGCAGGGGCCCAGGGATGCAAGCAGGTGCATTTTGCTGGTTTGGGTGGAGCTCCACGCAGCCACAGCTGGGCTGCATCTGTTGGGGGTGGGAGGTGGGCTCGTAGAGGCAGGGTCTGGGAGACTCGGGGCCAGGGTGTGCAGCACTCTGGGCGCCCCACGCAGACTTGGGTGGGCTGTTGGGGGGGGGTAAGCCACCCAAAATTGATCAAGTTAAGGAGTCACAGCAGAATGGGTTTTGAGGTTTGTTGGTGGGGTCAGCTCAGGCTGTGTCCATCACAGACCGGCCCCGCCTCCTGGCTCTGTAGCCGGGTGAGGGTTGGCGCACAGGCTGGGCCCTGACCTCTGACCTCTTCTCCCTTTATTCTACAGGCATCTCAGGCATCAGGGACCACCCCTCTCCCCAACCCACAGAGGCCGGAGAGGAGGAGAGCACCCCAACTCTGCCTCAGGGTCCCCCCATCCCTGGTGACCCCTGGCCAGGGCCACCCCCTCTCTTTGAAGACCCTCCACCTCCGGGCCCCCACCGTCCCTGGAGAGGCTTGCCTGAGACTGGGACTGCAGTCTGGCCCCCGGAGCCCCCCAGCACCGACCCCCCTCAGCCTCCCCGGCCTGACGACCCCTGGCCAGCCGGACCCCAGCCCCCAGAAAACCCCTGGCCGCCTGCCCCTGAGGTGGACCACGAACCTCAGGAGGAGCCAGACCTTGACCCGCCCCAGGAAGAGTACAGATGAGGGGGCCCCGGAGCGGCTGCTGCGCCCCTCTGTGCCCTTCTGGGTCCCCTTAGTAGTCTGACACCCCGAGGACTTCCCTCGTTCCCTCAGATTTGCTCTGAAACCGGAAGCTGTCGTTAATGTTTTCGGGGCCGCCTTGAGGCCTGTATTTAGCCCCAATTCCCCCTTTATCTCTCGGACAGCGAAGCGCACGCTCCTACCTCACCCCGAGCCCTCTCCGGCTCCAGCCGCCCTCTCCTTCCCGACCCGGGGCCGCTGGGCCGCGCTGGCTGCACGGTGCTCTCTGCTGCCACCTAGTGGCCGTCAGCTGAGAACCAAAACGGAAAAATAAAAACCGAATTTTCCTAATTCTGAATCTGTGTCTTTCCCAATGAATATTCCAGTGCCCTCCTCATGGTCCCAAACGCACAGATTCCTGTCTTGCCTCTCCGTGGTGCATAAGAAGTGGGACTCGGCTGGAGACGAACCAGAAAGGTGACAGCCGGACTCATGGGGACACTGAGTCCCACACTACTGCCCCCTGGGATGCAAACAAGAAGACAAGTTTTTCTTCAGTTGCTCTCGGTCCGAATGCTCCTGGCAGCACATGGGAATCTCAGGGGTGTGGGGACAGGACCAGCTCCAAGGAAGTCAGTTTCCGAATTCACACCAGCTCCTTGCCAGTTATTTACGTACCTAATTTTACTTGAGAGGCAGACAGTGCTGGTTCACTCCCCAAATGCCAGCGACAACGAGGGCTGGGCCAGGCTGAAGGCGCCGGGAACTCCATCCAGATGTGGCAGGGACCCAAGCACGTGAGCCATCGCCTGCTGCCTCCCATAGGGCACGTTAGCAGGGAGCTGGAATCGGAAGCAGGGCTAGGACTCCAAGCACTGTGATGTGGCCTGTGGGTGTCCCACGCAGCGGCTTTCACTGTGATGTGGCGTGTCGGTGTCCCACGCAGCGGCTTCGGCACCAGGCCCAACGCCAGCTCCAAGCTCCTTCCTTAAAGAAATCCTTTGCCTGCCCTGAGCCTGAGCATGGAGCTCTTTCTAGAGCTGCCAAAGGGTGACAGAAAACATAAAGCAGCCGTTTGCATCTTAGTAAGAGATGCATTTTTTAAAAAAAGATTTATTTTGAAAGGCAGAGTTAGAGAGAGAGAGAGAGAGAGAGGTCTTTCATCTGCTGGCTCACTCCCCAGATGGCCGCAATGGCCGGAACTGAAACCAGGAGCCAGGAGCTTCCTCCAGGTTTCCCATCTGGGTGCAGAGGCCCAAGGACTTGGGCCATCTTCTGCTATCCCAGGCCATAGCAGAGAGCTAGATCAGAAGTGGAGAAGCCAGGACTCGAACCAGCACCCAGATGGGATGCCAGCACTGCAGGCAGTGGCTTTACCCGCTGCACCACAGTGCCGGCCCCAAGATGCATTTTTAATAAAAGCTTACTGGGGCTGGCATTGTGGCATGGTGGGTAGAGCCACCATCCACAGTGCTAGCATCCCCCATGGGCACTGGGTTGTGTTCTAGCTGCCCTGTTTCTATTCCAGCTCCCTGCTAATAGCCTGAGAAATCAGTGGAAAATGGCCCAAGTACTTGGGGTTCTGCCACCCATGTGGGAGACATGGAGGAAGCTCCAGGCTCCTATCTTCAGCCTGGCCCATTGCAGCCATTTGGGGAGTGAACCAGTGGATGGAAGATCTCTCTCTCTCTCTCTCTCTCTCTAACTTTCAAATAAACAAAAATAATTACTTTTTGTGTTTAATTATTGTCGGTTTACGTAGTTTTGATTAGTTGTGTCTTGGAATAACTGTGATATAAACTCAGTGCCAGATAATTTTTAAGACTTAGAGTCTTATCGTCATTTATTTGAAAGGCAGAGGGCAAGAGAGAGAGAGAAATACCTTCTATTAACTGGTTCACTCCCCAAACGCCTGCAAAGCTCCAGCTGTGCCAGGCGGAAGCCCAGGAGCCAGGAACTCGGTCCAGATCTGCATTCGCAGGAATCTGGATTCCAAGGGGAGTCGCCAGGACGGGAACCAGGCGCTTAACTACATGATGTGGGTGTTCCCGGCCGACGCTCAACCGGCTGCCTTGTAGGCGGACGCCTAGTAGCCTGCATTCACCCATTCATTCATTAAGTCGTTAATTACCCCTCAAAAATGTCACCAGTGCCCGTGCCTGGGAGAGTGGGAGGGTCGGCGATGTGGGTTCCACTGGCAGGAAGCTACCGGGAAGCCGGGAGGGACAGCACTCACGTGCGAGGGTCAAACAACAGCATTGCGGAAGGCAAGCCTGCGTATAGCTAGGTAATTACATGAGTAAGCCCCAAAGCAACAGCCTTCGCAGTAAAGCCGTGAGCCGGGACCGCGCTGGGCGCCGCAGAGGGAAGGCCCGGGGCGGGAGCCGCAGCCGCAGCCGGCCCGGAAGGTGCCGCACCTGCAGCCCTCCGCCCCGCCCCGCTGGCTACCGCAGCGCCGGCTTTGGTGGGGCTTTGGTGCGTGTTTCTCCGCGGGGCGTCTCTCCGCGCAGCCTGCCCCGTGCTCCCGAGGCCTGAGTGGTGGTGGTGTTTAGGGGTGTCTGCATGTCTGAGACCTTTTCCCTCGTGTCCCGCGGACCCCCAGCGTGCTACCGCCGCCCCCCTGCGTGGCGCGCCGCCCCGGGGCTGCGGGGAGTCCCGCGTCCTCAGGGACTCTTGCCACTCGCGGAGCCTCCTTCCCGCCCCTCCCTGCCCCCTCGGGCCTCTTCACTTCTCAGTCTCTGCGGGGCCGGGGTGGGGGTGGGGGTGGGGGGCGGGTTTAAAGCGGTGCTGCCTGTGCCCTGCCGATGCAGCTCTCGTCTGATCTGCATAACGAGCCTATCTTTACCGCCCTCAGAAGAGGGGAGCAGAGGCTGGAGAGGCGCAGTGACGCAGGCAGGGTCACCCAGGTGCTGGTGGCCCGCGTGGAATTTGAACTCAGATCTGTGCTGTGCTAACAGCTGATATTCACTGCTTCATTATCCCATTGCTTTATCTTTTTAAAAAAGATTTATTTAGGGGCTGGCGCTGTGGCGCAGCAGGTTAAAGCCCTAGCCTGAAGCGCCAGCATCCTATATGGGTGCCGGTTCTAGTCCCGGCTACTCCTCTTCTGATCCAGCTCTCTGCTGTGGCCTGGGAAAGATGGCCCAAGTGCTTGGGCCCCTGCACCCATGTGGGAGACCCAGAGGAAGCTCCTGGGTTTGGGTTTATTTATCCAGTTGAAAGGCAGAGGTAGGCAGAGAGACAGAGAGAGAGACAGAGAGATCTTAGGGTTCACTCCCCTAAATGGCTGCAAAGTCGGGAGCTGGAACTCCACCCCCTCTCCCAGGTGGGTGGCAGGGGCCATCTTCCACTGTTTTCCCAGGTGCCTTATCAAGGAGCCGGATCTGAAGTGGAGCAGCCAGGACTCAAACCAGTGCTCATATGGGATTGCCAGCATCGCAGGTGGCCACTTAAACATGCCACAGCACCAGTACAGTCCCTGCTTTTCTGTGTTAAAACATTCCTTTTCATTTTATTTGAAAGACAGAGAGACAGGGAAAGCTATTCCTCCACTGATTCATTCCCTAAATGCCTGCCACAGCCAGAGCTGGGCCGGGGCTTCCAGCAGAAACCCGGCCCCCAGACCTCAGTCTGGGTTTTCCATGTGGGCGGCAGGGACCCGAGTCCTGGAGCCAGTCTCTGCTGCCTCCCAGGGTGCGCATTAGCAGGGAGCTGGAACTGGAACAGAGCCGGGGCTGGGTCTCAGGCACTCCAGTGTGGGACACAAACATCCTGAACCACTGTGCTGAATGTTGCCAATTCTCCCCCAGCTCATTCTTTCTTTCATTCTTTTTTTTTTTTTTAAGATTTATTTATTGATTTGAAAGGCAGAGTTAGAGAGAGAGAGAGAGAGAGAGAGAGAGAGAGAGAGGTCTTCCATCCGCTGGTTCACTCCCCAAATGACTGCAACGGCCAAAGCTGGGTCAATTTGAAGCCAGGAGCCTGGAGCTTCCTCCAGGTCTTCCACACAGGTACAGGGACCCTAGGACCTGAGCCATCCTCCACCGCCCTCCCAGGCACATCAGCAGGGAGCCGGATCAGAAGTGGAGCAGCTGGGACCCGAATCGGAGCCCATAGGGGATGCCGGCACCACAGGTGCCCCCCACCCCAGTTCTTTATCTGTGTAACTCTCACATGGAATACAGTGCCCAGGCCTTAAAGGACACTCAAGGCCTGCTTTATGAATGGAATGGCTGAGTGTATTAACGAGTGGCAGGTTTGGGCAACAGAGAACAGACTGAGATCGTTGGGTGAAGGGTGTGTAACTTGCAGAAGAGGGAGACGCTGTTGGCCAGGCTGGGGGAAGTTAGGAAAGCTCTTGGCCCCGGACTCGGAGCTCACATCTGGAGTCCTTTCTCCTCTGTTGGAAGCGTGCCCGGGTGGGCACACTGCAGCAGGGAGCGCGGCAGGGAAGGGAAGAAACATGTCTGGACCCCTTAGCCCAACCCTCAGCAACCCTCAAGCCAGTGAGATGGCGCTCATTGGGAAAGGGAAGAGAAAAAAGGTGTTTTTTTTTTTTTTTAAGTTTAATTACTTATTTCAAAGGTAGAGTTGGATAGAGAGAGAGAGAGGTCTTCCATCACTGGTTCACTCCCCAAATGGCCACAAGGGCCAGGGCTGGGCCAAGCCAAAGCCAGGAGCCAGGAACTTCTTCCAGGTCTCCCACATGGAGGCAGAGCCCCAAGCATTTGGACCATCTTCCACTGCTTTCCCAGGCACATTAGCAGGGAGCTGGATTGGAAGTGGAGCACCCAGGACTCGAACTGCTGCCTATATGGGATGCTGGTGCTACAGCTGGAGGTTTAACCTGCTATGCTACAATGCCAGCCCCAAGGAGGGGGGATTCTTAAAGGAGAAAAAAAGTGGGGGAAAGAAACTGAGTCTGCTGTGGCCAGGGCAGGGGCCGTGTGCTGCCTTGTTCAGTGCTGCTGCACGGCCTTGGTTTCTGTTCTCCCCTTTTAAAGGCCGAGATTCCTGTGCCCTGTTTGTCTGTGCACCTGCACTTCCCTCCTGGTCCCCAGCCTAGAAGACATCCCAACACACAAGTTATTGACACCATTTCCCAGATAAGGGAAACATGTGGAGCGCCAAGAGACTTGAACTCCCCCGTGCAAGACAATCACAGATGCCAAAGTCAAGATCAGGTGCAGGATCACTTGACTCCAGACCAATTGTTCCCAGTTCAGTGTAGCAGGTAGTTAAGTGGGAGAGAGAAGGAGGAGGCATGAGTAATCAGAGATTCTGGAGTCTATTAATAGGCAGGGGATATTGGCATTCCAGCGTGCTGTGTTCACACACTGGGGAGGAGACCAAGTGGAG